AGGTCAGAGACTGTTTTCCTTTGTGTCTTTGCCTTCCCAGAGCCTAGCCCAGTGCCTGGTACACAGTAAGTAAATGTTTGTTGATTGAATGCTGGAATGTAAGCTCCCTTAAAGTCAAGCACTATTTCCTTTAGGTCTTTGTCTCTGTAGTTCCAAGCACAGTATCTGCTATATAGTATGTGCTCAGTAAATGCTTATTGGTGTTTCCCAATACTCTCTCTCTCTCTTTCTCTGTCTCTCTCTGTCTCTCTCACTCTCACTCTCTCTCTCTGTCTCTCTCTCTCTTTCTCTCTCTCTCTCTCTCTCTCTCTCTCTCTCTCTCTCTCTCTCCTCTCTCTCTTCTCTGTCTCTGTCTCTCTCCTCTCTCTCTCTCTCTCTCTCTCTTCTCTCTCTCTCACACACTCTCTCTCTCAATCTCTCTCTCTCTTCTCTGTCTCTGTCTCTCTCTCTGTTTCTCTGTCTCTCTCTGTTTCTCTGTCTCTGTCTCCGTCTCTCTCTCTCTCTCTCTCTCTCTCTCTCTCTATCTCTCCATATATATGTATATAAAATACATAGGCATATCATAATATTAATATAAGGTACTATATACATAAATGCTGTGGCAGAATAATGAAGCCTTACTCCCTATTTTAAAGTGGAGATAATGGAAGGGAGGGCTATGACAATGATGGGGGTGGTTTCCTGTTTCATTCAGAGAGATGGACCTTGACTTTATTTACATCAGTAGCCTAAGCGGTAGAGGGAGAGAAAACAACTCTTTTGGATTTTCTTTTTTAAGGGGAAGGGGGGATTAGAGTGGGTTGCATATAGCAGAAAAAGAGGGAGGAATTGGGTTCAGGTCCTGCTCTGGACACATACTGGCTGCATTACCCTGTGTGAGTCACTTCACCTCCTAGCACCCTAAACAGTTTCCTAAGCATTTAGTTAACAAGCTTTTATTTAGCGCCTGCTGTGTGCTAGATGCTGAGTATGCAGAGACAGAAGGGAAATAACCCCTGCCCTCAAGGAATTTACATTACACGTGGGGATTAGTTTAGGGAGGGAGGGACAGGCAGCTTGGGCCCCCCAACCCCCCCAGGTAAGGAAAGCTTATCCAAGGTGGGACTTCAATTGAGTCTTGGAGGAAGAGAGGAATTCTCTGAGTTCAGGTGAGAGGCTATACAATAGTAATAATAATAATAATAATATAGTGCTTACTATGTTTACTAGGTTTCCAAAGCACTTTACAATTTATCTCATTTGATCCTCATGACAACCCTGGGAGGTAGGTGCTATTATGATCCCCATTTTACAGATGAAGAAACTGCATCAAGTGACTCTCCCAGGGTCACACAGCTAGGATGTGTCTGATCTGAGTTCAGGTGTCCCTGACTCCATGCCACCTCACTGTGGTAAGGATGCCAGCTGGGCTTCCAGCCAAGTCATTGATACCGTGTTAAATGTCACAGGGCCAAGCTCAGGTTGCTAGGGCCCTTCCCGCGAAACCTCCTGTCACAGTGACTAGGAACAGCTAGCTACTCACTATTCTTTGGGTTCAGCCACTCAACAACTATAGTTCTGAATCTGCCTAATTGGATTCTCATTGAGCCTGCATCACTCCATCTTTTCTACAAGAAGAGAATGTGACACTTCATCGAACGCTTTGCCTAAATTGAGGTAAACGATATCAACAGCAGCTCTCAGTCTCCCAAGGTAGCAGCTCTGTCAAAAGCAGAGGAAGCAGGTGGGTCCCGCCTGGTCTCTTCTCCATGTAGCCCAGTAGACTGGCTGCTCCTCGGTAATCACCACTTCCTTTTCTGGATGCTTTTTAATGATCTGCTCTACAATTTTGCCAGAAATTGAGGTCAAACTTGCTGACCTATAATTTAGAGTCTCTTCTCTTCCATTTTTGGAAAATCAGGACATTTGGCCTTCTGCAGTCCTATGGCACCTCTCCTCCTCACCATGAACATTCAAGTTTCGCTGAGAGCAGCTCAGCGATCATATTGGCCAGTTCTTTCCATCTCTGTAAAATTCACTACCCCACTCTCCCTTTCCCAGCCTCGCTGCTACTTGTCTTGACTTCTGGGGCTAGGCAGAACAAATCTACATCTTCTTCTGCCTTTAGAGAGTGTGTGAAGCCTGTCCCAAGCCACTGGATCATCTTCTCACCCTCTGAGAAGGCACTTTCTCTCTCCCCTTCCCACTCCCTAGAAAACAGAGAAGTTGTTAGTGCTACTAAATGTCTGGGACATTCTGAGACATTTCTGGATGAGAGTAGGGCACCCATCCCTCAATGATGGGGAGACAAGATGGAGAAAATTGCTGCCCTGCTCTAAAAGGAAGGGAGGATTTTGGTGGGTCACACAGAGTCTCAGATGTCTGAGAATGCCCCCATAGGCAGGCTAGAGAGGCCACAAGAAGAGAATGGGCCAGCCTCCCACGCCCATCACAGGAAGCTGCCCTTGAAGCTGACCTCTCCAAGCCCCTGCTTCTGCTCACTTCACAGCCTCTGGTCTCACAGAACACAGGCTCTCTGAGTTGGAAGGGACCTCCACTAGCTAGCCCAACCTGCGCCAGATCAAGGATGCTCCATACAGCACAGGACAAACAACCAGGTAACCTTGCTTGGCTACCACCAGTGTGCACCAGGCTCCATTCTCTCTCCGTCCCACCCCCCACTGCCCACTCCACTCTGCAAAAGCTCAAAATGGTAGGGAGTTTTCCTTGACACTGAGTTTACACAATTTCCCCCCATTTTGACCAGGGGCCAAAAGCAACAAAGCTAATCCTTCTTCCCTATTACAGCCCTTCAAATGTCTGAAGACAGGAGTAAAAAGACATTGATTTTGAGCTTCACAGGCTCTAAGATTCCACCTAATTCATCCCTCTCATTTTAGAGATGAGGAAACTGAGGTTCAGATCTCAGGCACAGTTAGACCCAGGTCATGCCCATCATGAGCATCAAAGGAAGACCTGGATTTCAGGCTTTCTTGGCTCCGGGCCTTGACTCCACCCTCAAGGTGCTCCAGTCCATCCTCAGCATTCTCTTTTCCAGGCTAAAGTAGCCACTCTCTTCAACTGATCTCATATTGCACGGATTTTACCTTGTTTTCCTTCCATCTGAGATGTCTCAAGAGCCTACATGCTCCCTGGACCTCTCAAATTCCAGATTTGAAAATCCATGATCCTGTGGACCCTTTAGGGGGGCAGACCTCAACATTCTCTCCAGTGCTGAGCTGTCTCAGTGCCTTCCTGGGCCTCTCATCTCTGGATGCCTGCACTCTCCAGCTCTCTCAGAGTCCTAAAGTGTTACAGCTAGAAGGAGCCTCACCCCTGCCTTATCCAGGCCCATCCCTTCGATTTACAAACACAGCCGAGGCCTAGAAATCGTAGGAGACTTTGACTCATAGGTTAAGAGCTAGGAAGGATGTCAGAGGACACCTAATCCAACTTCCTCCTTTTTTATAGACAAGGAAACTAAGATCTAGATAAGTTAAAAGATTTAGCATGATAGATGTAGCCCTGGAAGGGAGCTCAGAGTCCATTTAGCCCAATTCTCTCATCTTACAAAGGAGAACACTGAGGCTGGGAGAGGGGAAGGGATCTGTCCAAGGTCACACAGGTAGTAAATGGCAGGGCTGGATATGAACTTAGGTCATGTGACTGGAGAACTAGAACTCTCATTTCCTGAAAATATCTCAGTTGCTCCTGTTTCAGCTCCCTCCTCCAGAAAATCAAGGTCATCTGGGTTACTCAGCCACCAGGGCCTCTGGAGTTTGTGGCTAACATCCAAGACCTCCCTGCCTCCCCTTCAATTCACTCCAGTCCATGCCTGGATCCCAGGGCTTATTCCCAAAAATGCCTTTATTCATGGACACTTCCCCAAGTGCTTCTTCGGTCCTGGTCCTTCCCCATCCTCTAGCTCCCAGCCTTCTCCAGGTTTCTGAATCAGGGAGCTGGGCAGGACCTTGGATAGAGATTGTCTACTCCAGCCCCCTACCTGATAAGAAAAGGGAGATGGAGACAAATGAAGGGATTTGCCCTCAACACACAGGGATGAAGTGACAGCTGGGGGTTGGATCCAGGTCCTCTTGGACTTTTAGCTGGAATGGACCTCAGAGATCATGTGATACACCCCCCCCTTTTACAGAGGCGGGAAATTGAGGCCCAGAGATGGAAAAAGATCTGCCCAAGGTCACACAGTAAGTGGCAGAGCAAGGTCTGGAACGCCAGGGTACCCTCCTAAGAGTCCAGGTCTCTTTCCAATATCCCCATGTTTCATTTCTTCCATTTCCCGACCATCCATTCCTCCTCATATCCACACACACAGAAAGCATCCCCAACTCAAGCTGTTTGTCTCCCAGGTGAGGTGCAAATTTTGCAGTTAAGAGGCAGAGCCTTGACAAGGTGAGGCTTCATACCCTCACATGCACAGTTACCCCGAGAAGCAGCAGTCTGTCCCCCTCCCCCAAAGCCTGCCAGGGCTCCAGCCCAGGAGGACAGAGAATGGAGGGGGGAGCTAGAAAGGGAGAAAGGACAGCCCCAGAGTGGCACCATGGCTGCTAGGACATGGGGAGGGGGGCTCCTAGGACAGTAGTGGCGCATGGGGCCCGGTGCTGCCCACTCACTGCCAGAGGCCTGGGCCAGCTGTCCTAGCTAGAGAAAGCATGTCCCACTGTAAGTGCTGGAGCCAAGGGACAAACCCCCATTACCTCCCCAGAGTCTGAATCTCTCTGGGACTTGGTTTCCCCTTCTGTAAAACGAGTGGAAGTGGATTCTATGAGCTCTAAGGCCCCTTCTCACACCCTAAGAGGGTTGGATTAAAACCGTGCCCCTGCCACTTTCTAGCCCTGTGACCTTGGGCAAGTCCACTCCTCCTCTATGGCTAGGCCTCAGTTTCCTCCTCTGTAGAAGGAGGGCTGCCCGACAAGCTGGCTCCGGGACTCCTTCCCCGGCCCGCCCCTACTTCTTGCCCCCCCACCCCCCAGCCTGCTTCCCCGGCCTCCGGCCCGGCTGACCTGGAGGCCGCTGGCCCGCGGCTGCTCGCAAGGCCCTGCAGGCTGCGCTCTGCACTTCTGCGGCGCTGCTCGGACGCACGGGGCAGTAGGAGGCCGCCTGCACTGGGCCGCCCGCGTCCCGACCGAACACGGAGCGCAACAGTGCCTCCAGCAGGTGCATGGCCTCGGCCTCGCTTCCCTCCTCCGCGCCTTGGCTGTTGGCGCGGCCGCCGCCAGGCTCCTCCACCAGCACCCCGACTAGCGCTGCGCCGCCTCCTCCACCGCAGTCCCCCGCGTGCCCCCAAGGAAGGGGCCGCCACCTGGGCCGCCAACGAGGCCGCTGCCGCCGCCGAGCGCGCACGTCCCGCAGGATCTCCCGCAGGCGCAGGCGCGGCTCCGGGGCCCGCAGAGAAGCTTCTCGGCACAGCACGAACACGAGTGGGGAGCGGATGGCCCGCTCCGGGGGTCCGCTGCCAGGAGCCCGCGCCGCCGCCGCCTCCTGCGGGCCTCCGGGCTTACCGCTGGCCTCCCCAGCCTCCGCCTCCTGCGGGCCTCCGGGCTTGCTGCCAGCCGCCCGCGCCTCCTCTTCCTCCTCCTCCTCCTCCTCTCCTCCTCCTCCTCCTCCTCCTCCTCCTCCTCCTCCTCCTTCTCTTCTGCTTCCTCCTCCTCTTCCTCCTCTTCCTCCCGCGGCTCCGGGAAGACGTGGCGGGCGAAGTCCCTCATTAGGCTGCGGCTCTGTTCCCGCTCCCACAGCTCAGCCACCAGAAGCACCCGGCCCCGGCCCCCGGCGCCCTCCAGCAGGGCCTGCAGCAGGTCCCCGGGCCCAGCCGCCTCCGCCACCCCACGCTCCATGGCCCCGCTCGGCCCGCGCCCTCCGCCCTGCACTGAGTCTCTGGCCGCCGCTGGCCCCTCCGCGGCCACCAGGCTGGCCCCTCCTCAGCCGGGGCCTGGGGATGCCCGCCCCGGGACACGCCCCCGCAGCCGGGCTGAGGCTCTGGCACCAACCCCCTCGCCCCCCTCCCGACCAGGGGCTCACGTGCCGCCCCATTTTTCTGCCATTCCCGGGGCGCCGACCTTGAGGATTTGGAACGCTGCGGGGGTAGGGAACCTTTGCCAACCCACTCCCGCAGCCGGAAAACGTCCATTCAGGGGTCATTGCTGGGGCCACGAAGGAATCTTCGAGCCCAGCCATTCTGTGCCTTCCCCGAAGGCTCAATCATTCATTCTTTCCCTTTCCCCGAGAGAACCCAGGGAGAAACTGAGGCACTAGGACTCGGTCCCAGATTCCCTAGAACCCAACTGGAACTAGCTACCATCGAGGCATTAGGAGACAGGGAGGTTCAGGAGACCCAAGACGTGGGCTAGAAATTCAGTTCTACCATTGACTGCCTAACCTGAGTGATCTCGGACAATCCATCTTCCTACCTAGGCTCAGTTTCCTCATTTGTAAAATGAGAGAGTTGGAAAAAAGTGAGAGAGTTGGGGAGCTAGCTGGCACATAGGGGGAAAGCACTACTCTGGAGTCAGATAGTCGGCCTCTTGGGACCCCGAAGCCCTTCTTGAAGGGAGGGCATCCCAGATCAGTCCGGACCCCTGCAGCACAACTGCGTTGAAACTATGATTCCTGCTCGTCAGCACAGCCCCACAGGAGACGGTGCTGTCACCTACCCCGTCTCGGAAGCGCAGACAAATCACCTAACCTTCCTAGACCTGCAACTGGATGCCTTCCAACTCCAAATCCTGTAATCTGAGGAAAGTAAACACCCCACCCCCACCCTTGCTCCAAATGTAGGGAAAGGGTTAGCACCCTTTGGTTTGAAACTAGCAACTCAAACCCAATGAATGGGGTCGATCTTGAACTGCAGTCCCCTCCCAGGGGCTGTGGATACACTTCAGGGGCTCCTTGAACTTGTATGAGGGAAGAAAAAAAAACAGCTTTGTTTATTCTTTTTTTTACTCATCTTTGGTTTCCTTTGTAATATTATATATTTCATTTTATGCATTTCGAAGTATGATTCTGAGAAGGGGTCCAGACTGCTGGCCCAAGGTGCCTAGGACATGCATAAGAGTGGAGAAGAATCTTTGCTGAAGAAGGGAACTGGGTCCAAGTAGAAAATCAGCTGGACCGGTCGGGATTTAAGCTCGAACAATCGGGTCAGATTCCCCTTGGGCATCCAGGCCCCTCATTTTACTTAGGATTATAGCTTTATGGCTGGAGGAGACCTTAGAGGAAATGTGGAGTAGTGTAATCAACCAATCGATCAATGGCAAACATCTGTTAAGTGCCTCCAATATGCCAGGCACAAAATGAATCGGCCAGGGAGCTTGCAGACAAAACTCAGGTAAGGAGCTAATCACACACTGCCTATTACGTGCCCCTTGTGTTCTAGGTGCTGGAGAAACAAAAAACACTGCACTGGCTGCCCTCAACGAATTTGCCTCTCTCTGGGGAAATCACCACTAGACCTCTAAGTTTATGCAAAAAATAAATACCAGGTAACAATTTTGGAGGAGAAGGCACTAGCAGAGCCTGAATTTAGTCAGAAGACATGGTTACAAATCCCATTTGTGTGGCCTCGGTTTCCTGGGGTGGGGGGAGGGGGTTTAAATCCAGAGGTTGGACTAGATGGCTTTTGAGAATCCCCCTCCCCCCCAATAATAGAGGCCTAAAAGCTTCTGGTCCAGTCCTCCCAGCCCTTTATGGTCTCTCTTGCTGAGCGCAATGCTGCAAACAAAAACTAAAAAAAACAAGTCTGTTTTGGCTGGGGGGGGAAGGGGAGCGAGGAGGGGATCACAATTAACAACCAGCTCCCCAGCCAGGCAATCCGAGGGAGGTTCCTGGTGGCCCTTGGACCTTGGAGGGGTGGCCTGCAAACCCTAGGCCCAGCCAAGGCCTGTAAGGTGCAGTCCCTGCTGCTAGAGAAAGCAGGATGGTTCCCTTAGCCAGAGGGTCCCTGGCACATCGAGGGGGAAGGAGCCTTTTGGTCCCAGGCACCCCCTCCCTTGCTGTGGGCACCAGCATCTCCAGGAGGTCAGAAGGAAGAGAAGGCAAGGGTCCTGAATGCTTCTCTAGTTGTGATTCCTCATCCAGACCCCAGCCTGGCACTGGCACCAAGGCCAAACAGTGGGAAAAGTCCTCCTCCCTGCCTGGGGGCAGCTGGAGCAAGCTGGAAAGCTGAAGCACAACTTTGCCCCTCTGCTCCTCGTCCTAGGAGGTGGATACTGTAGCTACTGCCATCATCCCCACTTTACAGAAGAGACTGAAGCAGCCGGCAGGTTAAGAGCCTTGCCCAGGGTCATAGCACCTAGTGTCACAGGTAGCATTTAAACCCAGGTCTCCTGACGACGACTCTGAGTTGTGCTTCTGTGAAATTTGTGCTTACACACATGCAAACACACCTACATGCATGTACATACACATAAACAGGGCATGCACGTGTACACACATACACACACAGAGGGGCACAGATCTAAAGTGAAACTTGAGGCCCTGAGAGTGGAGGTTTCCGGCCTAAGGTCACACAGGTAGTGGCTGTCAGAGGCAAGATCTGAACCTGTGTCCTCTGGCTCCAGCCCAGGCTCTTTCCCCTCTACTACTAAAGAGCAATTAATAGAGGCCTAGATCAGGAGGTGCAAGACCTGGGTTCAAATCCTTCTTCTGTCATTTACTGGCTTCTTGAACTTGGGCTCAGGAACATTATTCTCTCAGAACCTCAGTTTTCTCCGCTGTGGAATGAAGGGGTCAGACCAGATGACCCCGACATCATCTTCAGCTACAGATCTGTGATAATCAATCAGTCAACAGGCCTGTATTAAGTGCCAGGCACCGTGCTAGGCACTGGGGAGACAAAGGCAAAAAGCCTAAACTGTCCCTGCCCTCAAGGAGCTTACCCTCTACTGGTCCCTGCAGAACAGCAGTGAGGGAAGATTGGAAGCCGATCTGATTGGATTCTTCCATCCCCCAACCTCAGAATCAGGTAAATTCGTCTTGGTAGCTCCATCACTCAACACAAAGCCTGGCTCAGAGTAAGTGCTCTGACTGACCTTTTACATCTGGTGTCCAGAAGTGGCAGCAGGAGGCCTGGAGAAGGGCCTGAGATCGGAAAGCTTGCAGCTCTGAGCAAGCTTCTTCTGAGCCCCCCACCCCCAGCCCTCACTTTCACTCCCAACCTCCTTTCACATTGTTGTTTAGTTATTTCAGTCTTGTGTGACTCTTAGTGACCCCATTTGGGGGTTTGGGGGCAAAGGTGCTGAAGTGGTTTGCCATTTCCTTCTCCAGCTCATCTGACAGATAAGGAAAGTGAGGCAAACAGAGTGATATGACTTGCCCAGGGTCACAGAGCTAGTAAATGTCTGAGACCAGATTTGAACTTAGGAAGAATCTTCCTGAATCCAAGCCACGTTCTATGCACTATGGACCAGTTGGCGCCCCTTTCAGATTACTCAGGAACTCAGGCACTAGAAGGTGAGGAGGAAAACCAGGTGGAGAAGGTGGCAAGCCAGCTTTCCCCTTCTGACAGGGTTGAATCTCATTTCCTTGGTGTCCATCTTGGCATTCAACTGGGCACAGTTTGCTTCTGGCAATGCTTCAAGGATCTAGGTGACTTCCTTGACAGGGGCAAAGATTACAATCATGGTTGACATTGATATAGCCCATTGCTTTATTCAGTAAATAACAGACAGAGGCACAGTGAATAGAGTTCAGGCCTTGGAGTTAGGAGGACCTGAGTTCAAATGCGGCCTCAGACACTTGACATTAGCTGTGTGACCCTGGGCAAGTCACTTAACACCGATTGCCTCACACACGAAAGAAAGAAAGAGAGAAAGAAAGAAAGAAAGAAAGAAAGAAAGAAAGAAAGAAAGAGAAAGGAAGGAAGAAAGAAAAGGGTAATAAATAAATAAACAGGCATTTCCTAATCACCCACTATGTAGCAGGCACTTTTTGGGTGCAGAGGAGGCGAAATAGAACAGTCTCTGCCCTCAGAGAGCTCACATTTGATTGTACATAAGTCATTTAACAAACGTTAACCTACTATGTGCTGGGCCCAGTGTGCATTTGGTGCTAGGGCTACAAAGACAAACACAAACAGTCCCTGCCCTCAAGGAGCTTACATTCCTGAATGTTGTGAGAATGTGATAAGCTGTAATAAACCATTTCAGAATATTGGCCTTGGAGGGGATCTCAAAGCCCCAGGTCCTGACTCCTTTCTTTGTAAACTTTGGCCTGGAGTTATACTCGTTAATAATAAATCAAAATCAAAATCAGATCCGGGGTCATAAGAGCCCTTATCAACCTGGCAGAGAAAACTTGGCCCAGAGATTTCCCCAAGCTAAGCACTAAGGAGGTGATGGCTGGGACACACCCCTCCTGCTCTTTAACCTACCCCTCCTGGGTTTTGGAGACTCAGTGAATTCAGCAAACACATAAGGCCCCTCCTAAGGCCAAGGCGCTGGCCTGGGTGTGGGGAAGATGGAAAAAGGGGCAGTCTTGGCCTAGAAGGGAAGGCCCAGCAAGATGCAATCTTGGGCAGGTTGGCAGGAAAGCACACTTCTGGGCGGGGCCAGCCAGTCCAATTTGTAATAATAAACAAGAAGAGCACTGAACTAGCACCTCACAATTTATAAGGTGCTTTACAAATATTATCTCATTTTATCCTCACAAGAACCCTGAGAGACAAGTGCTATTATTATCCTCACTTTTACAGATGCCTAAACTGAGGCAGGCAGGCTTATGTGACTTATCACTCCTAAGTGTCCGGGGTTGAACTTGAACTTGGGTCTTCCTGACTCCAGTCCCGCACTTCATCCATCACACCTCCAGTACCAGGGCCCAAATCTCCCTCTAGGGCATCTCTAGCTGGGGAGTTGGTCCTCCGGTCTCTGCATGAAGTCCCCTAGGGAGAGAGTGCTGTCTCCTGAGTCAGCCTGTTCCACTTTGAAAGCTCTGAAAGGTAAAGGTGTGGGGGTGGGGGTGGGGAGGTAGGCTGGAAGAATCCTCCCCAGGGTTGGA